GCCGTGGGGCGGCTGCAGGCGATGCTGATGCAGCAGTGCTGCATCCCAGAGTCCCGCATCCCACAGGGTCCTACCTGGTACTCCAAGGTGGTGTCGGCAGCACCCTCAGGCCCCAGAGCAGCCAGGCGCTCCTTCTCCCGCTGCTTGGCATGGCGCCGGAGGCAGAAGGTGGCAGCGGCTGCGATGGCAATGCCTGCCACACAGGCCAGCACGATGAAGGTCAGCAGCACCGTGTGGAAGCCATCCCCAAAGCGGGATGGGCGTGAGTAGGCAGCAGCCTCATTTCGCTGGGGGCAGAGCCAAGCAAGGGTTAGCAGGGGGCATCTGCATGGGGCTGGGGGGACAGAGACCCCATTCTGCACCACACTTAGGGTTGTTGAAGGCTAAAACAGAACAAGGGCACTCGGTGCCACACTGATTGTCCCAGCGGCCTCAGCTGGTGCAAAGGTGGTGTCACTGGGGTGCTGGGTGCCACTGGGGTAACACAGCGCATCCACTTGCATGTCACACGTGGTGTTGCTTACAATCCTTGGGGCTGCAGGAGGGTGTTGAGCCTGGCCAAGCCCAAGCAAGAGACCTGCTGCTCCCCCTGCTTCTAGCAAGCAGGGCTGCTCCCCAAGGCAGCCCCAGCTCAGGCTGTCCCCCTCCAGGGCAGGCAGTAGCCCCATGTTGCTCAGGTTAAGTGAGCTCCTGCCCTGCTGGAAGTCAGTGAGGGCCAGATTCAGCCTGAGGCAAACGGTGGGCCATAGTAGTGTTGGGTCCAGGGAAGCAGTCACAGCTCCCAGGGTACTTCCCTTAACTAGGCTGCTCTTCCCTGCAGCCAGGGCTCCAAGGAAGGACACAGTGGGATGTGCTTGTGCTGCCAGAGGGCTGGTGCCATCCCAGTGGCTGGGAGACAGGTCCTCCCAACCTCGGGACACAGCGCAGCCCCTGCCACCTGACAGGCAGTGCCCCCAGGGCTCCTTCCCAGTGGCCTGGGGTCACAACCCAACCCATTCCAGTCCCATGTTGGGACAGGATGATGCTGAGCCCTTTCTGGATAAGAGCCCTTCCCAGGGCCTTGTCCTAGAGCTGCTGTTGATCAGGATGCTCCCTCCACTCCAAGCCGGGTCCTGGGGCAGCACAGGGATGCTGGGGCACCACCACCACTAAATATGCTCTGCCCAATGAGGTGCCATAGGCCAGCATTCCCTCACTGCCACAACCTCTTACTGGCTACCAGCCTGATGAGGTTACCGAGGGAATACTGCATCGTCATCACCTATGTCATCATCATCAGCCTCGCCTGGGGATGCCCCCGCTGCAGGGGTCCCTGCTGCTGCCTGTCCCCAGCCCCAGCCAGCCCTGCAGCCAGGGGTACACACCAAAGCCAGCACCTCCTGGCTCCCCAGGCACCCAAGCAGATCAGCCCTGCAGCCCTGGAGGTGTCAGAAGGTCTGGAGAGGCCAGCAGGGCTGGGGGCAGAAGGGACCACCCTCACAGGCCTGCCTAGGCCCTGCTGTCCCCCTGTCTCTCTACAGCCCTTCTTTCCCAAATTTTGCACCACTGAGTTCAGAGCCTGGGCAGGGGACAGTGAAGGTAAAGCAAGAGCTGGTCTGGACTGGGGAGGTCCGTGCAGAAAATGTCTTGCAAAGCTGCCTCAGCCTTCTCTGAGCTCCAGCTCCTGTTATCTCTGCCATCTCTCCCCGCTCCTGCCACATCAAAAGACATTGCCATAGCGACGCTCCACATGTTCCTGATGGAGACAGGTTGCCTCCGTAGCCAGGCCACCCCTTCTCCATGGCCTCCTCCTCCTCCAAGGTCCCCACTTCCTTCCTCCCTACCCACAGCTACAATCACAAGGCAGGAAAGTGGGAAATGGGGACCCTGGGTTGGGGATGAGCTGCACTACTTCACCTCCTCATGCTGCAAACACAGAAGCCATGCTCAGTCCCCCATCTCCAGCCCCCTCTCCTTCCCCAGGAGACCGTTCCTGGGGTCCCCAGAGGAGCATGGGGAGGGGGAGCCTCTTTCCAAGCAGATGGCTCCTGCTCCATCCCTGCCTTCAGCTGCTTTGCCATTCTCTGGGGGCATGATAGCATTTTGCCTGCATAGCCATGGTCTCTAGGTTCTCTGAGCACAGCCTGGTGCTGGGGTGCCCAGGTTGGAGGGAGGTTGAGGGTGAAGAGCCCTGTGGGGTGCAGCTCCCAGGTCATGGATGGAGGGGGGGAAAGCCTCTGGGAGACTCTTAAAAACTGCCTGTGGAGCTTTAGATTTGGAAAGAGCCAAGTGCTCTGTGAGCGCAGGCAGCTGAGCAGCATTATGCTGGAGGTAGAAGGGGTCACTGGAGCTGTCCTGCTCGACCCATCCGGATAATCCAAGTCTGTCTCCAGCACAGCAGCCCAAACACTGCCCAGAGCCCTCTGCTCCTCAGCTGCCCCACGGACCCACGGGGTGGGCTCTGTCATGAAAACCCCTGTACCATAGGGCTAGGGCACAGTGTGCTTTCCAGCTCTGTCCCAGCCCTGTCTCCAGCCCCAGGGGACGGGCATGCTTGCTCCTACCTCTCCCAGTCCTGTTTGCATGACCTTCAGGCCCAGCTCAGCTTCCAGCTCTGCCTTCACTTGCTCTGTGAACAGAGAGGAGATGGTCATAAGGGTGCTTCCCCTCCACCCAAGAGACACCCCCCCAGAGATAGAGCCAAGGGACACCCCCGACAGCTGCCCACTCCACACCAGCTCTCCAGTTCAGCCAAGGGCAGTGGGATGTATGGTGGGAGCCCACTTTTCCTGGTCCCTGGGGAGGGGCACCCCACAATGGGGGGAAGAGAGGACCAGGGAGACCCCTGCTCAACTCACCAGCCTGGCTGGCCACATCTGCCAATGAGAGGTTCTGAGGGTTCTGCCGGATGCGGAAGGTGAGCGCAGGACCCACAACGCTGCCAGGGAAGGGGGGACACAGTGTGAGACAGGGAAGTGCAGCCCTCATTCCCATCCCAACCACAGCATGGTCCCTCCTGGCCCCCCACCCAGGTGGCTGTGCACAGCTAGGGCTGTAACAGCAGCACCCCACAGCCCCACTGCCCTCACCTGATGTTGATGAAGCTGGCTGTGGAGAGGTGGAGGTGCTTGGCTAGGAGCTCCAGCAGCCGCACACCAGCGGCCAGCCCCAGGGGCCTGTGGGGACAGTGGCAGCGTGAGGAGCTAGGGGCAGGGGGAGAGCCCACACTCCCCATGGCTGAAGAAGGGGGACAAGCAAGCTCAGGTAGTCCTGTGCCTGCAGCAAGGGGCTGCAGGGGTGTCAGGGTGGGCAGGAGGGAAAAGCATGGGGATGTGCGGTGATGGGGGTGAGCTGGCACCACCTGCCCCTCCCCCTGCACGGGAGCGTGCACAGAGGCAGTTGTGCACACCCACTTGGCTGAGTCCATCCCAGCGTCCTGTCCTGCACCAGCAAGTTCTGGCCTTGGCATGGGCTGAGGGAGGGAGGCTTTGGAGTGGGACAAGGGCTATGGGTAGAGAAGGGTTGGGGAGCTGACCCTACAACAGACCTGACCCTACCAGAGACCCAAACAGGCTCAGCCACGCACGTGGAGCCATGACACCTGGCATGGAGGGGGATACAGACACCCCACCCCACCCCCCTTGCCCAACACCCAGCTCTCACTTCTGGTCTGTGATGATGTAGCCATACTCATCCAGTGGCCGTGTGCCCCGCTGCACCCCACCATCCTTCACCTCTGAGTAGCTCTTCTTCTCCACAACAGTTGGCTTCCTAGGGCTACGCACATCCTCACTGTGCCCCTGCTGCAACTCAGCCCAGGGGGCTGGCGAGGACACTGCCCTGTCCTTCAGCCCATCCCCTGGGGTGCTGCTGGTTGGGATTTTTGGGAGTGGCACTGTAGAGGAAGGTGGCACTGGCTCCTCTCCGTGCTGCATGCCCCTCTCCATCATCTGGAGGGGGAGAAAGGGAGGAGTTGGGACCTCTGAGGAGAGCCCTAGGGGACTACCCCACGAACACCACCTCCCCACATCCCACCTGCGTTGTGGCATCTCCTCCAGCGCCACTCTGCTGCAAACCCACCCGTTTCACTGTGGGCATTTCGAGGCCAGCAAGACCTGGGAAGGAGAGAGACAGAGGTCCTGCAGAGTGCACCCTGAAAGGCAACAGCGCCTACCCCAGAACAGGGCATGCGGGCACCCACCACTGCCAGTCCCTGCACGCCACTCACCAGAGCTCTGGAGCAGCTGGAGGAGGGTGGAGAGGCTGCTCAGCTGCTGGGGGCTCAGCTCTGGCAGCCCTAGGCCGTAGCTGGCTAGGAGAGAGGCCAGTCTCTTCAGGGCAGCATCTGTAACAGGACACAGCATCAGGATGGATGCTCTGCATCATCCGCGCAGGGACCCTGGGCTGGGGATGCATCAGCTGGGGCAGGGGGGGTCGAGGGGATACATGGTCCATGGACATGAAGCCAAAGAGAAGGGAGAGTCTGAACCACAAGGAACATGGCTGTGGGGACAGGATGGGGATGAAAGCTAGAGAACATACTACCTGTCTGTGCAGGGGGTGGCTGGGCAGCCAGGGGTGCTGGCTGCTCCTTTTTCTCCATGTCCCTGTAGTCACCAGGGAGCCGCAAGCTGTGCTGGAGTCTGGTGCTAGGAGGGTCAGGGCGGCCAGCTTTCTCCCTGGGCAGAGAAAGCATGCCCAAGTCCTGGAAAAGATGCCCCCCATCCATTCCTGGCTGCCCACCATAGGAGGGCGCAGGGCCAGCCCCAAAAATGGCCTGGGCAGGGACCCGGCCCAGCAGTGAGGAGGTCTCGGGGCTCTGCCTGGCCGAGCCACCAGGGAGCTGGTGAGCGCTGTCCTGGTAACCAAACTGCAACCAAAACACAGAGACACCAAGGTCAAACGCCACAGGACCCTTCAACCCCACGGCAGGGCATCCCAGAGGCAGGGGTTACCCCCGCAACGGGCGGAGGGGG